TCATTATTGGCTAGTCTTTTATTTACTTTATTCAAACTTGCAAAGACAAGAATTAAATGAAATAGAATACAGGTAAAATATTGAGAAATGATCAAAAAGGAAAAAAAAAAATGGCATAAAGAACTTGCATAACAGAGTGAAATACTTTAAATTTTGGATAAGAGTTTGTTGATTTGAGTTGATGAGTTAGTCTGGAAACTTTATTCCAATTGAAGTTCTTGGTGTACTGGATGCATGTGACGGCCCAAGCTTTACAAACCCGTTGTGTCAGTGATGACCAAAAGATGACCCAATAACAGATCCGAAATGCGGAAGCAAAAGGTGATCAAAATGAAAGAATGAAAGGTTTTGAGGCATGGACGAACGCTTGTCCAAAACCAAAGCACTAAGCACCCATTCGACACTCGTCAAGGCTGAGCACCCATTCGGCACTCATCAAGGCTAAGCACCTGTTCGACACTCATCAAGGCTGGTCATTCTGACCTACAAGGGTCGGTCGTTCTGACCTACATGGTCAGGCGTCTTGACAAAAAGGTTCAAGCATTCTAACTTAAGGCTCAAGCATTCTGCCAAAAGATTCAAGCGTTCAGACTTAAAGCTCAAGCGTTCTGCCAAAAGGTTCAAGTGTTTGGACAAAGGTTTCAAGCGTTCGGACCTGCATGGTCAGATGTTCTGACCTACATGGTCAGGCGTTCTGATTGCCGAACGAGAAAATAGAAGGCACGAATTGCCGAATGACAAAACAGAATCAAGGAATCGACCGAATGACAAAATAGAATGCAAGAAAACAGCAGAATGACAAAACAGAATGCAAGGAATTAGCAGAACGACAAACAGAAGCAAGTTTAAGGCAACCTTGAGGCGAAACATGCATTCCCAATTATCCGAAACAAGTTTAAAAACATACTTGTGAACTTTTAAAACTAATGGCTGTTGGCCTCATGTTATATATACAAAATATGCATAAAAAAGTGTACTTAGTTACACATTACATATCAAGGAAGCCATCCTAGCTTCTAAAATACCATACATCCATGGTATGCAAAAATATAACACCAAAAGTAAACATGCTAAACAATTGCATGTCAAAATACAAAAATGTTCCAAATTACTCATAAGCCTTTAAGGATGATAAACATCCGAGAACATAGTCTCCTTATCTGTAAAATAACCCAAACAACTAGGGTGAGTAATCAAGTTACTCGTAGGAAGAAGCATATGTGTATACCTTAAAGTTTTAATATCATTGCAAGATTAATATAGATGAATACAAGGGATCATTCCACTTAACGTCTATGTGCAAGGTGTTTTGAGGGATCATCTTAAGCTAACTTAAATGATTCTTTAACAACACATATCAATATCAATGTACTTAACAACATCAATTCGCCAATAACAGGAATTACAAGTTACATTTAAACATTGGTTGTCAACTTGGAATTTAATGCGAAATAAACTAAGATCTAAACGGTTATTTCGGGCATTAACCCGTTGGGAAGACTACCCCAGTGCACACTATAAATGGGGAGAACTCAAACCTTCCGCACTAAAGCCAAACTCTAGCCATGTCACTTGTAACAATGTCTCAAGAGAATCTAAAATCATAATCAAGTTCAAAACTTATACACTATAATTAAGGCATATAAACCACTTCCATGCACAAGTATTTTGAAACCACACAAACCATGTCTTAGGGTTCCAAGTCAAAAATAGCATACCAAATGACAAGTCTTCCTCATGGTATAATGTACAATATAATACCACCAACTTATCAATTTAAATCATGCCTCAACAATAAGCTTTATATACTAAATCTTAAAATTTAGTAATCCACAAGAATAAAGCTTTCAAGTGACTCCACCTCAATGCCAACAAGTGGCTCCATGAGAGTGTGACACTTATCATACTTTCCAAAAATTACAAAAAGGTCATTTTCCAAAATATCTTCCAAATTAAATTACAAAATGGTCCCTAAGATGAAAAATAATTATTTTACATAATTACACAAAAACTCCAAAAGTTAAGCATATTTACAAAAAGTATGCATCCTTGCTCTTTACCAAAATGTAAGCAACTAGCATGCTTTTCTACAAAAGTAAAAATACAATTACCTTAGAAATCAAATATTATGGATGCATGCAAAACCGGAGTCAAATCCGAGTACAAAAAGTGAGGTTATGCAAAGAAAACGATAAATGGGAAAAAGATAAAATAGGGAAAAAGACAAAAAAAAAGAAATCACTGAAAAAGGAAAGGAAGAAAAATGACTGGGTCATTACAATGCAATTACCTCATTTAGTTCACTAGTTAATAAATTTTCTTTTGTAGTCTAATCTTCTCTTGCATTGAATAGCTTGGACATGCTTCCAATTCAGCAATTGGTTCCAAGAGGAAGGATCTTAAACTGGATCATAGAGATGTAGATTTGGATAAATTGGAATTGCCTCAATTACACGCCTTGGCAAAAGCCATGAAAATTAAAGGGCAATATAGACTTCAAAAAGCTCTTCTGCGAGATAAGTTACGCATATGTATGGAATTGGGATCTGGTGGTTTGTCTACTAATAGCTATGCATTTAGGTTTGTTGTTTCTTTCAATGCATTTTCTACTTATTTTTATAGCCATCGTGTGGATGTTCAGTAATTGCAGGAGGAAATGAAGGGAATCAAGAGCTGATGATTAAAAGTGTGCCTGAGAAGTGATGAACACTTGAAAGTAGCTGCCTGTTTTTGTGATGGCACGTAGTTTACTTTTTAGAAGTAGTTCATACTATATTAATTTTCACTAGGGGCCATCTGAATGCACAAAATCTAGTATCTCTTTAGCTAACCATCAAAGAGTTGAAGACCTATCCGTAACCTACTTAAACTGTGGTAGATCTTGAAAAAATACCCAAAATAAATATATAAAAAAATCGTCCAAAACGGACCCCAGATGACAAAGTTATGGCCATTTGAAGTTTGCCTTCTTCCCAAAATATACATATATATATAATTTTAGCGAAAGAGGAAGCTTCAACATTGGGCGAATGATCGCCCGACTATCGAGCGACCATTGCCCGGCCATTTTTTTTGGTTACAGTGAGCAAAGCTGGGTGATGCTTGAAGGTGACCGTCGCCCCATTGCGACGCGCGCAGCAGAGAAGTTACAGTGCCGGGCGAATGATCGCCCGGCAAGGCGGCGACCATCGCCCGACCAAACAAAAGTTTCGACTCTGACAGCAGTTGCTGGGCGACTATCACCCGGTTTGGTGGTGACAGTCGCCCCTTGGCGACCCGCAACGACCGATAACATCAGCACCAGGCGATAATCGCCCTGTAATTTTTATTCGACGAAGAAGTGGTAGTTGCCGGGCGACCATCGCCTAGCTTGGAGGTGATTGTCGCCTTTTGGCTATGCGGTAGCAGAAAAGTTACAGCGCCGGGCTATCATTCGCCCGGCATTTGGGCGACCATCGCCCAAACAGAAAATATATATATATATATATATATATATATATATATATATATATATATATATTAGAAGCTGCGGTCAGCTTAACTTCTTATTTGTTACATTTTCTTTTTATATCTTTATATACATAAATAAATAAATAATGTGTATATATAAAGAAATTTTTGGTTCTCAAATTTGTATCCATACAATGCATTATATATGTACGTATTTATATTCGAACATTTATGTTTCTATTTTTTTCAACCCAATTTTTATAACGTCTATTTTTTTTAAAATAGAATTATATTCTTTTCGAATTCATTTTTTCCCGAACTGTATTTTATTAACTGTGATTTATGGCCACACAATAAGATGTCCCAGACCCACTAAATTGTGGGTCTCACTTTGCCTATTTGAAAAAGGAAAAAAAAAATTATTATGGATCTCAAACTCTCACCTAAATTCAGTCCATCTTCGGACTTTCGACACCTTTGTGAGAAATTATTAAATGAGATAATCGAAAAATAATAATAATAATAATTTTTAAGGATTTGATGAACGTGTATTGAAAATATTGTCGTATTTAATGACGGTATACTGATCCTCACTCAGTTGAGTGATCATCGCCTATTACGATGACTCTGTGCTGAATGCCACCGAAGCTCTCTATTAAACTTTCGTTCTTATCACCTTTCCCCCTTCTAAAGTCTAACATTCGGTAAGTAGATTCATTATTTCAAATCGATCAAATTTCAATATATGTTCTTGTTTTGTTCTTTGTCGTGTATATATATATATATATATATAATTCTTTTTGCTCTTGTATGTCACTTTAAATTCAAATTGTTTCAATTAGATGTTGAAAGTGTTTTTCTTAATGGTATTTTGCAAGAAGAAGTTTATGTAGCACAACCAAAAGGTTTTATTGATCCACATAATCCTGATTTTGTTTTTCATCTTAAAAAGGCTCTTTATGGGTTTAAAGCAAACACCTAGAGCATAGTATGAGAAGTTAACTTCTTATCTAATACACAATGGCTTCAGAAGAGGAGGAGCATATAAAACATTGTTTATTTTCAGGAAAGGAAAATATTTTTTTGTTACTCAAATATATGTGGATGATATTATTTTTGGTGCTATTTGTGATAACCTTATTCATAATTTTACTAAGGATATGAGTAATACTTTTGAAATTAGCATGGTTGGTGAACTAACTTTCTTTCTAGGCCTCCAACTGACACTACAAGAAAAATAATTTTTTAGAACGTCTTTTTTACCACGGTTTTAAAATAACCGTTGTAAAAAACACTTTCTACTATAGTTTTAAAATAAATATGGTAGAAAATTTATATTTTACCATGGTTATTTTAAAACCGTGGTAGAAATTTTTTTTACCACGATTAAGGAAAAATCATGATAGTAATTGTAGTTTTTACTACAGTTATTTTTATAATCGTGGTTTAAAATGAATTTATTTTATTATAACCGCGCTAAAAAGTGAATTTGGTGAAATCCTGTACGCGGGTCTTATTCCGCTACTTTCTTAAAATTTTAGGGTAGATTATTTCAGACCATACACGCAAATCATTTCAGCCTCCCAAATCGCCTCCATCTCTTTTCTCGTTCTCAACTCTGAACTTGCCCTCTCTCTGTCTCTGCGACTGCAAACTACAAGATCTACAACAATCAGATCAACCTCCCAAATCGCCTCCATCTCTATTCTCGTTCTCGACTTTGAACTTGCCCTCTCTCTGTCTCTGCAACTGCAAACTACAAAATCTACAAGAATCAGAACCCATATCGGCATATCATTTCAAATTGTTCAAAATATCAAAACCCATATCCTTCAATTTCCATTGCCCGCTGTTCCAGTTAGGGTTCGCCGTTCGCAAGCTTCAGCCTCTGGCCCGCTGCCTCTCAACTCTCAAGCCCTCTCTCTGCAACTGCTAACTTGTATGTATGGGTTTTGTATTAATTTTTTTTTTTTTCCTAAATCAATTAATCAAGTTCTGTAATTCTTATTTTGCAAACTAAATCCTATTTAGTGAAATTTTTAGGGCAAATTTTTAGTACTACAGAATAAGACCAACTATACTTCACCTTCTAAGATTGACTATATTTGTCCAGGAAAAGGGGTGGAATTTCCTCTTTTTTTTTTTGGCTCAATTTCTTCTACAATCGTGATGCATACTTCTTGATCATCCTTGCATTTTGCCACTTGCCTTGCTCAGTGTTTTGAAAGAACCCCCTTTTGTTATTTTTACATGTACTTTTTGTTTTTTTTTGTTTTTTTTAACACGTTTAAAAATTTGGCTCAATTTTGTCTATCTTCCTTTTTTTTTTTTTTTTTTTTTTTTCTCCAGAAATCCCAACATTCAGAGCTGCGTTGTTTTTAATGATAGCTTTTGCTGTTATACCAACCATCTCATTCAAGTAAGTGGTTTTTCTTATTAGTGACAGAAGTTTGCTTTACCCATCTGTTTGTATGTATTGATATACATGACACTTTTCTATTTATTATGACCTTATGTCTGCGTATTCTCTGGTAGATTGAATAATGTTAATATGAATCATATGAATGGATTATTTATTCTGCTGGACTTAGACCAAAGTTGTTGATCCCACATTCTTGACATACCATAGAACTACATCATCATCTTTGTCACCGCCTACTGGGTCGTTGGTGTGGTTGTGGACTTGTTTTTGATTAAATGTCTATATCATTCAACTTTCCCCAAATATTTAGCAAGATGATCTAGAATACCGCAACCAAGATTAATCTCTCACAATTCTGGAACTGTATTAGGCTGATTACTTTGGTCTGAGTCTTAGGAGAAAGATTGCTAATGCCAGAGCTCACATTTATGGCTTCTTATTATTTTTTTTCATATTTCTAACATTTAACTTGAACTTGCCCCATGGTGGGCTCATTAATTAGCTAGGTCTTTTCAGAATTGTCATTTCCAGCTTGTAGGCTTTGCTATTAATGTAGTTGGTGTTGATGACATTGGGGCAAGTTCAACTTACATAATAAGAGCTCAACTTACATACTTGATTCATCAATGTCGTGGCATTAAAATATATGAAAATTTTGTATTCAACATGTCATTTGCCAACAAAGACCTAATATATATTCCACGACCATGCAGTGGCTAATCATACCAAAAAAATCTATGCTACCTCACTTGGTCAAGATTTCATCTTTCATTAACTTTATAAATTTCAGATATGGCTTATTTAAATTTGTAGCACAAATTATTCATGTCAAAAAGATTTTTTATTTTATTTTTTCTTTTCTGGGTAAGGTTTTAATTCAGTTCTCAAGGTATCTTCATCTAGTTGTTTTCAATTATATATATATATATATATATATATATATATATATATATATATATATGTCATCATAGGAAATGAATTGCTTCTGTTTCATGAGCATCTCTGACCACCTTAGAGTGTTTGTGGATACCAGCGGTATGTGATCTTCATACGGTCCATTCAGTAAATTTTTTGTGTAATTATTTTTGTTACTTTTTTAGGCTTCCTAAGAATGAAAATGTTATACGAATAAAATTTTTATTCAGAGTTCATCTAGATGGTAGTAAGATTAAGAGGTAGAACAATTTGTTATGATATGATAGAAGTCAAAATAAGTTCTATCATTTACACCATAAGTATAAGTAGGTGGCACAGGTTCTGCTTTAGTTATATTGGTGTTTAGATAAAAAATAAATAAATAAATTACATTTATGGGACTGTCCAATATGTAGGCAGGGAGGAGACACTAATGCTGAGTCAATTTGTTATGATACTAGAGAAAGTTTTGCCACCACATTGGGCTCAGCTTCTGGGGCCGAGGAATGAGGCCTGCCTCATATGATTCATATCTAGACTATGCCTTTGCTAAACTTGGCCTACAAAATCTTCCATAGAAGCTAAGGGCCAAGAAAAATACGAGTCCAATTAACCATATTTTCAAAATCTCCTACTTAAGGGAAGAGGAGGAACATAAGCTGGAGCTGCAGCTCAAGTAATAGATTCTGTTTTTATAATGTGGAGTTTCAAATAAAAATGATACAAGTATTCTCTTAAATGGTCTAAAAAGAATATTTTGAAGATAATTGTGGATTGTCATATACTCCAGATAATTATTTTCAGGGCCAAGTCTTCAAAAGACTTCGATTCAGCCTAACTCATACTTATATTATCTTTGGAATAGGAAAATGCTAAATAAAGCTACTGAGTTAGTTTCTTTTTGACTATGTTAAAGGAAAAATTAGTTGATTTGCATAATGGGTGTTTGATGAAATGGGTAAGTTGGTACTATTACTTTTGTAAAATCTACTATTTTTTCAGTAAATTTTAAGCAGTTGTCTTAGTTTTCTGTTCTAGATGTTAGGTTCTCAAATCTTAGCCACTCACTTGCCCCTCTCAGCTGCTCACGATCCTCGGGATTCAATGAACACTCTCCCATTAGGAAGACACAGAAGTCTATTTTTGGTGTGAGAATTACTAAGATAATGGGTGTGTGTGCTTGCTTTAATTACTTTCTCAAAATAAAAATTAAAAATAAGGTCATAATGCTAAAACAAAGATATAACATCTAAGATTGTCAAATGATTGGAAGATTTTTCAAATTTTCTCTTATTTTCTTTCTTAGCTTATGCTTCACCATCGAACTCCCCACCATTGTCTCCAACTAGCATTTCTTGACAATCCAGGCATTCAGATTAGTCCCATGCGAGGAATATATTACTTTGTACACCAAACTGAATTCAAATAACTCTATTTCGGAAAGTAACTAGAAGGTCTACTTTAGAGAGGGAAATGATTTCCTTGGACAAATTGGATTTAGTAGCTAGAAGTTCTTCGAAAAGTAGAATTTTTAACTAAATTCTGAATCTAGTCTTGCGTACAAACTAATCGTAGTGTGTAATTGTTTTTATTTTTCTTATTCTTCCTACTAGCTAAAGTGAACAGTTTGCCACTTTTTTCCTATCTGCAAAGAGCTGCAACATAGCAATTTATATATTAAGGACATTTTATTATATTAATTTGTGCTGCAACTAAAGAAGATAGAAAATGATTTGATTTTTTCCAAAAAGTAGCCATTAACATATGATATGATTTTTTATATTTTTGTTGACATTACATTTGTAACCTTTTTTTTGGGACAGGATCCATTATCACCAGTTCATTAGGAGGAGAAGGATTAGAATCTTAATTGTTCTAGTCTACAACAAATGTCAGATACTCTACTTCTTCTTTTCCATTATCACCATGGCAATGCATTCTATGTATAAAAAGTTGAAGATTGTTTTCCCTTGCAAAGTGTGTGATGTGCCTATGTATGAACTTGTGTGTGTGGCTGGTTGTAGTGCAATGCATTCACAAATAAAATAAATAAATAAATAAATGTAGCTGCATTGGATTTTTTTTGGCTTGATTTTCCATTTGATTATCGAGAAAATGTTGGAAAAGAAAGCTAATTTGGAACAAAAATATGGGTCCATGTTTTGTGTTTCTCTGCTGTACGGATATTGTTTGGATAAATCATCATCTTAAAACCAGGTAATTGAATTGAGTTCAGAAAAATTGAGATTTTTGTTTTCTAGTGCCACAAAGAGAATGCAAATATTAAGTCCTTTTGATTTTCTTACTCTTTTCTCTGGAATGAATGAAGAATTATAGTTTTTTTTTTTTTTTAAAAATTGATTACAAATTTGTGAATGCTTAGAACTGGGCTGTGTATTGATTGAGGTTTCAGGTTTAGGGATTAATTGTTTATTCAGCTGTAACGACCCGATCATTTACCTCCCTTTCCTTTTTTCTTGAAATTTTACGGATGAATTTTTTTTCCGTTTAATTTTCTTTTCTAAGCTCTATTTCTTGTCGCTTAGTGTTATCTCGAGTGTTCGAAAATGGTTTCTGAGACTCTTTCATGTGGATTGACAACTTCCTTTGAGGACCGAGTCATTTTCGCATTTTCACTTTTCGGACACTATGCGCTATTTCGTCTTTTTTCTGTTTGTCACTTTTTGGCACAACCTCACTTTTCATGCTCAGAGTTAGTTTTTGACTTTACGTGTCTTCATCTTCAGTGGTTTCCTCGAAATACGTATCTTTACTTTTGCGGGAAAGTACTCTGGTTGCTCCTGGTGTTCATAGGGGCATGGATGCACAATTCTTTGGAATTATTTTCTTTTCTTGGGGTGTTTTTCGTAAATATCTTTTGAAGATATTTTGTTTTAGGGGTATCTAAGAAAATATTTTTAGAAGATATTTTCATTCTGGGGCATTAGTGCAGTTAACCCTTTTTGGAGGGGCTATTGTGGAATTAACGAAAGTTATTACAAAAATATTTCGTCTGGAGCTTGGATTCTCGTACGGGATTCATTTTCACATTTCGTCGAGTCGTGTACTCTTAGAATTCCGTTCTGGTCGTTTTTCTCCGGTTTCAGAGTTTCTGACCCTAGTTACCGCTAAACTTGTTCGGGGCATATCTCTCTACTTGGTACTCAGTTTTTGACGACGTTTCTTCCATTGTTCATGTTTTTTCATTTAGAATCTTTTTTGTTCACGGAGTTTTTCCGTTTGAGCGCGTTTGCTTAAAATTCACTTTTCTAGACTTGACGGGGTTCTTTCGGGGCACTTTTAGGGTTTTTCTATAAATAGGGGACTTAAAGATAAAAAATGAGATTTTCTCTCTCTCCCCTATCTCGGTCGGCGTTCATGGCAACCCAAGGGGCTGCTACCTTCTCTCTCTTCCTTTGAAGCCTTTACTTCGTGTGAAATGTCATCGTGCCTCAGTGTTTATTGCTCGACTTGACAACGCGCACCTTTCCCCCTTATCAGAATCCATTTCTGACCATTTTTGAGTTCCTGGTTTCAAGTTCAAGTTTGGATTTTCATGGTACCTCCTTGGTGTTTTATGTTCCTTTCGTTTTTCTCCAGTTTTAGAGTTTCTGACCCTAGTTGCCGCTGAACTTGTTCGGGGTATATCTCTTTGCTTGGTACTCAGTTTTTGACGTTGTTTCTTCCGTTCATGTTTTCTCATTTAGAATCTTTTTCGTTCACGGAGTTTTTTCATTTGAGCGCGTTTGCTCAAAATCCACTTTTTTAGACCCGGCGGGGCTCTTTCGAGGCACTTTTAGGGTTTTTCCATAAATAGGGGATTTAAAGACAAAAAATGAGATTTTCTCTCTCTCCCCCCTCTCTCGGTTGGCGTTCATGGCAGCCCAAGGGGCTGCCACCTTCTCTCTCCTCATTTGAAGCCCTTCCTTCGTGTGAAATGTCATCGTGCCTTAGTGTTTATTGCTCGCCTTGACAACGCGCACCTTTCCCCCTTATCAGAATCCATTTCTGACCATTTTTGAGTTCCTGGTTTCAAGTTCAAGTTCAGATTTTCATGGTACCTCCTTGGTGTTTAATGTTCCTCTCGTTGTCCCCGACATAACCTAGGAGTATCGTCGGATTCAGAACATTTTTTTTTCAGTGGGGATTTGAGATTTTATCTCAAATGGAGGTAGGGGGTGTTATAATTTATTTTCTTGCTATATAGTATGATATTAATGCTTATACAACTTATTTACATGCTTAAATATAAAATCTAGAGATTTTATTATTTATTTTTCTTGTATGAGATTTGATTCTACCGGTTCGTTATAGCTTTTTTGAAACTTATGGTATGATATTAAATTACCCCTTGATATGGTCATTGACATATATTAAATTTAGAGTATTTGGATAAGGAATAAAGATTTTATTTAATATTTATCTTGAATAAATGTTTAATTTGTGTGGCCTTAACTAGCTTGAAATCGATGTGTGTTAGCATATTAAATTAGGCCCTAGCATACTCTTCAACATATGTGAATTTGAGAGTATTTGATGATGTTTTAAATCTAGAGACAAATGATTAATTTGATTAATTAATTAATTCCGAGTGTACTATTCACTCCATTGGATTTCCGACTTGATAATCTTGGTATGCATGCCATATAGTTTCACATATATTTAATCGAGAACATTTGATTAAGTTTTGAAAACCTTTTGTTTAATTATTATCTAGTATTAAAGTTTAATGCTCATGGTCATAACTTGCATGTAATTTGCTTGTAATAGGTTATTAAATCAAGTCTTGGCATGTATAACATATATTAATTTGAGATCATTTAGATGAATTTCAAAATCTAGAGATTTTAATTAAATGGAATAATTAAAATCCATTCAATAGTTTCTTGGTCTTGATTAAGTTTCTAAATTGGAATTTATACTTTTCTTGACAAGTTTCTTCACAGGTATCAATTGAGAATAATCGGATAAGTTTTGAGACTTACATTTGCTTATTTCCCTTGTATGGAATTTAAATCACATGGTCGTGTCTCGTATGAAATGAACTTGTAACTTGATGTTGGACTTGTATTTCATGAAGCTTTTAGCTTTTCATCATGTATCAAGACCCCTTGTATTTTGATCTCATTAAGGTAGTTAATGAACTAGCATGGTTGTCTTAGAATGATTTAAGTTACTCATGTGTTGTTAAATAAGTAATTGAATCATGTGTCTTATACTTGTGATATATGTACTTCAATGGATTTCTTATGCTATATATCTTAGTTCTAATCTATATAGATGCATACTATGTTTTCTTAACATTTCACATGCCATTATAGTTGATGAACTTAGGGCATGACTTGTGTGTTCCAAAATCTTGGTTGTGCATGAAACGTGGTTAATATATTTCTTGTATTTTAATACAATCTTGACCTGCATAACTTGTTGATTTTGGGACTTGGGATATTAATCAAGAATTGTCATGGCTAGGACATGGTTCTAGTACAGGGGAAGGTACCCTTGGGTTGATAGCCCTAAAGTGATCCCAAGAATAGGGGAAGGTACCCTTGGGTTGATAGCCTTAAAGTGATCCCAAGAATAGGGGAAGGTACCCTTGGGTTGACAACCCTAAAGTGATCCCAAGACTAGGGGAAGGTACCCTTGGGTTGATAACCTTAAAGTGATCTCAAGAGTACGGTTTTAATCCGGGTGATATCCAAGTTTTCACATTGTTTGATTTCACTCTTTAGATTTCAAGTGTTGCATTCCTCGAATTTTTGAAACTCTTTCGTGTTATAGGAAATGTTCCATCCTTAATTAATTGTACAGATATTATGCCTTGTTCTCGTTTTCATGTGTTACTCCTATCGTGTTAATTAGAATGCTCCAACCATGTTATTGCATTGATAATGTAATTCTTGTTAACTTGTATCGGAATATGCTTCTTGTCGTGTTAATTGGTATGTTCCAATCTTGCTTAATTGTATTGATAATGCAATTCATGTTAATCTATTTTCAAGCATTTTTCTTGTCGTGTTGTATGGATTGTTCCAAACCCTGTTTAACTACGTTGATAATGTAATTCATGTTAACTTATAAACTTCTCGTGTTCGTTGGATTACCCCAACCTTGATTTGTTTCATACATGTATATGTATTATGATTTTTTTTGACATTGTTCTAGGATAGCTTAGGATGCTCTTTGAGTCTTACCTTTGACATAGACGTTAGGTGACATGATCCCTTTTGAATTGATTCATGTTAGTCTAGAAATCTCTAAAGAAATCGAGTCGATGCATGCTCATTCTCTATGAGTAAACTTGTTTACTCATCCCGAAGTTACTGGGGGATTTGTTCAGGTACGAAGACTTGGTTCGTGATATTTGTCGATCATTCCGTGGATGACTTGTAGTTTTTAAGTTTCCATTTCATGCAAATGTTAGCATGAGATGCCTTTTGTAGTTTTATTTGACAAAATGTGTATATTTGATTCTATTTATGTAATGTGTACATAAGTACACCTTTTTCATTATATTCAACATGTATAAGATGAGGCCGAAGGCCAATAACATGTACCTTGTATCCTATGTAACTTTTAACTTCATGAAATATTAAGAAAATATTAAAAAAATGTCAAGTATTGGTCTCACAATGGTTGCATTGGGTGTGGGAATTCTATTTTTATTCTTTCATAGGGTCTCATTAATCATGTATGAAGTGTGGTCAAGGGCTAAACGGTCATTTGAAATCATTTCCTAATTTTGGTTTTCACTTTTCTCATTTCAAGTTAATTTTCGCCTTTTTGGCCGTTGGGGGGTCGGATTTTGACTCGGCCATTTTCGGGAGTCGCGGACTATTCCCGCGCACTCAAAATCATTATTTACGTTTGCGTGAATGATCGTTTCCATGAAAACCCTTTTGTTTGTGTTTTGAGTCTCCTATGGACTTATTTTACCTTTTTGTTGAAAAACTCGGCCCAAGGGCATTTTAGGAATTTCCTTTGGGAAATAAATTCCGTTCTCGACTCCATCACATAGAAAATGTGATTTTAAGGAGAGTTTCTTCACGACATTTTTTCGAAAAATGTCATCTTGACCTCAAAAACCGCGCTCTAAACTCAATTTTTGCATTTTTATTGTTTCTGTTGTTTTTTTTGCAACTTGGGTGGGTTGAATCGGTTCAGTGTGGGCTGAACAGGTTCAAGGTGTCATTTTGGTTCAGCTTGGGCGTACTGCCAATGTTGAACCGGTTCAAGAATGTTGAACCGGTTCAAGTCTTCCAGAGTTTTCAGTTTTGGACTTCCAACTTTAATCTGACGTAACTTCTTCGTTTCAACTCGGAATTGGTCTGTTCTTGAGTCTAAATTGATCGTGTCAAAGTAAGCTTTCCAATGGTACCAATTTCAGCTTCAGATTATTTTCCTAACTCAAGATATCATTGTTTTAGTGAGAGGGTGTCGGATTTGGTTCGAACCGGGATGGGGTTCATCCGGGATTGCACTTCCTTTGGCCTTGGGTCTTCATGTGAAGTTATCAAAGGACGTTTTTAGATGTTTTTGATCAAATTTGACTTGTTGATAGTTAAATTCCTTCCTCCTTGCGTAAAATGACCATTTTGCCCTTGGTCCTCTTTTCGGTGGATGCCCTTGTCTTCGTTTTGTTTCCATTGAGTCTCGAAACTCTTTCAAAGTCTATTCTTGTGTCCTAGGGATAATGTACATCTCTATGGACTTATTTTCAAGTTGCTTCCGCACCTTATTCATTTGGGTCCGTGACCTCATGGAAGGTCATCAAAGGGTCTTAGAGGTGTGTTATGCCTTGGGAGACCATTGTCTTGTTTCTTGCTTCCGCATCTTGGATCCAGTTCGGGTCATCACTGTACACACTAGGTTGGAAAATCCAGGGTCGTTACATCAGCTCATAGAATTGAACAGCTTTGATTTACTTCTCTGTTTTATGTTTTCTTTTGAACATTGGTTTGACTCATACATGAATTTATAAAGAAACTAACAGAATATGGCTAGTCTTAGAACTCTCAAGATGAATATTTCAGCAGCTTGTGTAAATGCAATCTTTCATAGTGCATTACTTATTATCTTGTGGTTAATGAAGCATAGCCTGATAAACCTGTCAGAAATGAATTATAAGACGACAATAAATTTAAGAGATGAATTCCACTATCTCAATCAAGAAATACTACACACTGAAGAACCGATCCCTCAGTTGAAGAAGTGCTATGATATTGGAATCTATATGATGGGTCATGTGAAAAGCCAGTGATTTAGGTCATTTTCTTGTTTGTGGGTGATAATAATTTCTATTTGATTCATAAATGACAATCTTGTTCTTTCCATTTTGTTAGTAGCATACTGAATTTGAGACTTGTGTGATGCATCTACATAATTGCTTGGATTTTGTACCATGAAAAATAAGGTGGTGTTTTTGACAAGTGCAGACTGAAACTCAAGTGCTAGGTTTAGAAATTGGTCAATAGAAGTACTAGGAAATTGATATGATGAAACTTTGCAAAAATCAGATTATGAGCACTTCACCTTCACCTACTTGAATCAAAATTCTATCAAGAAAGGGAACAGTGGTGGACAATAAAACATGACTTAATTTTTATTTTTGGTTGTTAAACATGTTATCTGTCTGGAAATGTATCACTCAAGCATAAGTCATGGAGCAATGTACATAAATTGAGGTTCAGGGAGAGATGTGGTTGTGGTATTACAGATTCAATAAAAATTACAATAAGAAAGATAGGTTATACCATGTCTATCCAAATCAAACTTGTGAGAATTGTACACTTTACTTTATGGTGATATTGTTGCTTGAGCAAATCATTAAGTTGTATGATTTTTTAAAAAATGTTTTCTGTTGTAGTTGAGAAGTTGCATACCTGCACTTTACTTTGTGGTTCTATTTGAATATATGAGTTGCACATTTGTTATTTTTTAAGACCTTTTTTATGTGATAGGGAAAAATGTAACGGCTGGATTTAGTTTCTTTCTACGCGTTGTACAGTGAATGAAGATGGTTGGGCAAGCTTGGCGGTGCTACTTCTTTTTGCAATCTTTTCTTAGCACTTGGTTTTCTTTTTTTTAACAATGATGGAGACTTTGTACTTCAAATTATTCAATGAATGTTTTGGAATATTTTTTTGATGATTGTTGTTCCTTTTTAACAATGATGGAAACTTTGTACTTCAAATTATTTAATGAATGTTTGGGATTAATTTTAGGTGATTGTTGTATATATATATGCCTTTGGTTGTAATTTGGTTGTGTATGTGGAGTAGGATATGAGTGATATATGTTGTTGGACGACAGGTTACTCATTTAATATATATATATATACACACACACTCACACTTTATGCCATGGGCTTAATGTGAGGTAGAAACTATCACATTAATTCTACCACGGGAAGAAAAAAAAGAGGCTTCATAAGGGCTAAATTATTATTTTAAAAAAAAATTATATAACACTTTCTACCACGGTTATGGATCGTGGTAGAAAGACAGACTTTCTACCGTGGTAGAAAGAACCACTTTCTACCACGGTGCGGAACCGTGGTTGAAAATAGACTTTCTACCACGGTTTTGCACTGTGGTAGAAAGTCGACTTTCTACCATGGTGCAAAATTGTGGTAGAAAGTCTCGACTTTCTACCACGGCTGTTTCTACTACGGTTCAAAACCGTGGTAGAAAGCCTTTTCCATCATGGTAAAAATTCATTTTTCTTCTAGTGTGAAACAACTTGATGATGTGATTTTCATATCTCAATCTAAATATGTAAAGGAGTTAGTTAAAAATTTTGGTATGAAAGATTCAAAACATGTGCAAACTCTTATGAGTATTTCATCCAAATTGGATAGAGACTCTGATCCTAACAAGGTTGATCCTTCTTTGTATAGGAGTATGATTGGTAGCTTGTTGTATTTGGCAGCAAGTAGGCCGGATATTTCATTTAGTGTAGGTGTTTGTGCTAGGTATCAAGCTGATCCTAGAGAACAACACGTTTTTGCAATTAAGTGCATTATTCGTTACGTCAATAGTACATTAAATTATGAATTGCGTTATTCTTCTGAATCAACTCTGAGATTGCAGGTTATGCTGATGCTGATTGGGCTAGTAAAAAGGATGATAGAAAAAGTACTTTATGTGGTTGTTTCTATATTGGTACTAATATTGTTTCATGGTACAACAAGAAGCAAAATTTCATATCTTTATCATCTTGTGAGGCTGAATACAATGCTGCTAGAAGTTGTTGCATACAATTGCTTCGGATGAAACAGATGCTTCTGGATTATGGAGTTGATCAAGGTACTATTGCTATCTTTTGTGATAATAATAGTATAATTAATATTTCAAAGAATCCAGTTTAGCATTCTAGGACTAAACACGTTGACATTCGACGTCACTTTCTTAGGGAACTTGTTGAACAAAATGTCGTGTATTTGCAAAAAGTGCATATTGGTCAAAATTTAGCTGATATTCTCACTAAGCCATTAGATGCTCCTAAGTTTCCTCATCTTAGGAAATCTATAGGCATTTGTGTCTTAATTAGATGCATTGCAAAGACATAGTTTAGAAAGGATTTTCATGCATATCTTGAGTGTCTAGATTATGTTTTTGGGAGATTAACCAAATCATATTGATTGAGTATATTGAACACTAGGAGTTTAATGACACATGGATTATTTGTGTAAAACATACTATGGCTGTGAATTGATGAAATTGGTTTTACTTACTTATTTCGTATAGTAAATGAATCATTGAAAGTACATTTACTAGTGTTTGATGTCATTATTTGGGTCAAAGATGATGTTGATATGATTGATCATTGTCTTAGAATTTAAACTTGTTTTATGTGTTTTAGACCAAAAGAGTGAAAAGAAAATAAATTTTTGAAAAAAAAAAACCATCTTGGAATGGAAAAGTTTTTTAAAAAGATTGAAAAATTTGCTGTTTTTGAAAGGAAAAAGGTGAGATAGAAAATGCTACCTTTGGGATTTGTTCAAAGTTACGACTTGAAACAAATGGGAATAAGTGAAAGAGCTGGCTGCCCATAAGCGTGAAAGCCGCCAATGTGTAAAAAGAAAAATGGAGCACAAAGAGAGATAAAAAAAAAAAAAAAAATGTCTTTTGCATATGTTGATTGTTTGATTTCTAGGATATGAAATATCATTGATTTATTGTCTAAAATCTGAACAGTTGAGAGATCATATGTTTTTGGAACTTGGTGGTGATTGATTTTACTACACTTACTAAGTTTGTGGAACTTAAAAGAATTGATTTTGGTTATTTGTGTTGAAACATATAGTCTTGTGGAGTCTACATTCTCATTGATTTCAATTTACAAGATTTATGTGGTTGGTTGCTTCCTACCTCTAGGTTCTATCTTCCTTGAAATCCTTGTTAATTTGTGACAAAAAGGGAGAGAGAGTTTAGAGTCTTATCATTCAGGGGGAGGATACTTTTGCATTAAGGGGGAGAACCTTTTGCATTGAGGGGGAGAGAGAACCATTGATCATTCCATTACATATTGCATTGTTTTATTTTATTGATTAAGCTTCACGGGTAGTTGTGTTTGAGCTAATGTGCAGATTACAAGTTGCTACATGTGTTGAAGCTTCATGAGGTTCAAGAAAATTTTCCGCGGTTTATTTCCTAGAAACAAATTATAATCTTCTTTTTTTGCTTGGGTAGATTATAAAATTTGTTTTTAGGGTTTTGTCACGAAATTGCCAAAGGGGAGAGATTGTAAGATATATTTTGTAATTAGCTAATTTCGTTGTCAAATAAGTCCGATTGAGTTGTAATTTTTCAGTTCTAAAATTCAAGTTTGAAGATCGGATGCGGAATTGAAGAAGTTCAAGTGTTCATAAGGTTATGACACTCCGGGATGATGAGAACAATGCTGTAGGAAGGTATGCAAGTCAGTGAGAACACTTAGAGAATTTTAGAAGGTTCAAAGGAAATAGAGGATATCATTCTGCCTATTGGGAACCGGTAGGAGAATCCTTGAACCGGTAGCCAAACTATGGTTCATGCATAATTCTTCACTGCCCAACTTGAACTGGTACCACAGTTGGGAACTGGTACCAATAATGCGTCGAAAAAGCATTCTGACCTTCTTGAACCGGTACCACAATTTGGGAACCAGTTCCAAAAGTCCTGGCAGCATCAGAATTTTAGTTTCCTTATTCTATTTTATTCCTTTTTTATCCGAATTTCCTTCTACGTCCTATGTACGAAATTTTCTATATTTTCAGAAGGATTAGGACATTCTAAACTCTATATAAACCTTGTCATACACCTAGGTTTATTCATGACTTTAAGAAACATCAATTATATAGAGAAAATTCAGAAAATCAAATCTGATTATTCTGAATGTATTTTTGAGAACATGCACATATATGCATGAGTGATTTAGTTGTATTGTTCTCTATCTCATCGGAATTGGAGCTGTATTGAAGATTTAGATATTCCGAAGAAAAGCAAGATTTAATTTTTCTATATCGAGTTCAAATCTTGAAGAAAAGAAGTAAAAGCGAACACACTTTGAAATGGTTAGAGCATTCGTAGAGTGCTGTCTAATCTACCTGCTACTTTTCTACAAAGATCAAGCATAAGCCTGAGGTCAAGTTACTTTTGGATGGGGAGTCGCAAAGCCAGAGAATCGTCAGCTATTGGTGTTTGGTAGAACAATAGGGTGTGAACCAGAGTCAAAGTTCAGTGTACTTTGTTTCAAACATAGTGGATCGGTTTACTTTGGACTAAACAGTCCACGAGATTTTTCCCGTGCAAACAGTTGACGTATTTTATTAATTGGGGTTTCCTTACTAAAAATCCTGGTACGATCTCTCTAACTTTACTTACTTTACTTTTCAGTATTTATATTTATGATTGTGGATGTTTAAATTGATCATGTAATTTAATCAATCATAAATTGAGCAAGTTAACCTAATAATTGGATCTAGGTCATTAAAGGAGTTAATCACAATTAAAATTAACTATTTGTTTCCACACCCCGCGTAACTCTATTTTTCATAATGCTAACCGAAGATGAGTTATGCTTGGCCCTAGACATATGAATTTTTCTTTATAAATTATGTTACATGCTTGTAGCCATACATCTTCTCATCATACAAAATATCCTAATAATATGTCTAATTGACCATTGGAGGGCGGATTAGTGGTGAAGTCAATCCCTTAGACTCTCTATCTCTTGATCTCTCCAATTACTTAGTTTAAGTTAGATTTAAATAATTAGTTAAATTAGAATTTAAAAACTTCTATTTCGAATTAAATTATAAATAATCCCAATATCTTGACAGCATAACTGCCGCAGTCCTTGAGGTTTGTACTATTGCAAGTAGTTTATCATTGAAGAAAACACAAATCTTGGGCCCAAAACCCCTATTTTTCAATTTCCCAAAATTGGCTAAAACAAGTGGGAAAATTTGAAATCCAATGGTGAAATTAAATGGATTATGATCTAAATTAATTCTTTGAACCACTTGATTGAGTTTGGTGAGGGCCCTCCAATGTTGGTCTAAATAAAAATTAGGGCCCCTCTAATGTTGGTCTAAATCGAAATGCTTGGTTTATTAATATGAATGGGGTGAGTCTTATTAACTTTAAAAGGTTATTTGGTCAATCAAAAATAATTGTATTGAGTAAATTGGTAATTTAATATATCAAATGATAATAATGTTAATATAGCTGTTATTATGGGCAAAGCTCAAGGGTTTACCCTATATATCTCTAGGCTTTTATTATACTTTATCCTATATAAAATTATATATAGGCACTGACACGTAGGCCAAATAGCATATAAGAAATTGTTTTTAAATATGGTTAGGTTTGGAGGAAAGTTTGAAAAAAGAACTTCTAAATTGATGTAATGGAAGATTATAAATTGCAACGAAATGTTTGAATATATCAGATTTCATTAACTAGATATCTGATTGCAAGTTCACAATACAAAACTATTAAACTAAGTGTTAGAAAAAGAAAAATTTGCGGGTTGGACTCCTTTTGGGTGTAAATAACTTCTTGGAGGGGAGTGTGTGAGTACCAATTAGGAAGGGAAAAAAAAAAAATTCGGCCAAAAAAATTTATGAAGCGATGAAATGTTGATGTGTGTGAAGTAGGTTTTTAAAAAATATTATAATTATAATTTTATAGAAGTATCACTAGGTGTGATTTGCCCAAATTTTAGGGGCTGTTAATGAAATCATCCCCCCCTTTTTTTTTTTTTTTTTTTTTTAACTCGTGAAGACGTAGTCCTCTCAATGCACCCTATTTTTAACTTCCAGTGAACGTGCAATATCTAGTTAGCCAAATTCTAGTTAGTCCGTTAGTCCATTGTTTTAGTTAACTTCCAGTTAAGGTACAATATCAAGATAGCCAATATATAGTTAGTCAATTTTTAGTTAACTTCCTCCAATTTTTAGTTAACTTCCTCCAATATCTAGTTAGCCCAATTTTTCTAGTTAATGACCCATTCGGTTAAGGAAAACAGTATAAATAGAGGTATTTCTAGGTGTGATTTGCCCAAATTTTAGGAGCTGTTAACGAAATCATCCCTATATATATATATATATATATATATATATATATATATTTTTTTTTTTTTTAAACTCGTGAAGACATAATTCTCTCAATGCGCCTTATTGCAATATCTAGTTAGCCAATTTCTAGTTAGTCCATTGTTCTAGTTAACTTCTAGTTAAGGTTACAATATCAAGATAGCCAATATCTAGCTAGTCAATTTCTAGCAAACTTTCTCCAATATCTAGTTAGCCAATTTCTAGTTAACTTCCTCTAATATCTAGTTAGCCCAATTTTTTTAGTTAACGACCCATTCAGTTAAGAAAAACAGTATAAATAGTGGTCTGATACTGTTGGCACCAAAACTTGGCAGCCACTTCAGCAGCGACGTGGACCAATGGGAAGCCGATAAGTGTTGAGCATGTCCAAGAATGGTCGGCCAATGGAGAAATAGTAGGAGAAGATTTAGGAGGATATCTATATATTCAGCCACCTCACCAAAAGGGTTGTTACTAAACAACCGAGACTTGTGTTAATTTCAAAAGGAAATTTCATTAGAAATAGAACATTGGGAGAGGTCGGCTAAGGTGACATAATTAAGTTCCTAAAAAATAGGGATTTAGTTATGAGAAAGGAAATTGAATCCTTATGGAAATGAAATTCAAAAAGAAGGGGCAGCCACGTGAGTGTATGGGTCAAGGCTATAAATGGTCTTCCAGCCATTTAAGGGAAATATTTCAGTCAAGCTTGAAGAAAGAAGTTGCTAAAAATCAGCAACTTACTAGCAATCTTCCAGCAGCTTTCTACCGACTTCTTAGCAATCAATATTTTTTTCAACAAAGGTATTCTATTTGAAGCAAGACGAAACAAGAGGAGAAGAGACGTGAAAGACTACTGGAATACGACCTATTTTCAGCAACAAAGTAAAGCAAATCAAGGAAAAGAGAGATTTCAGTAAAGACTTTCCCATTGAAACTGGAGCATCGATATTGAAGGCGAGGAATGTTGGGCCGTAGCTCAGTTTGAATTTCAAAAGAAAATGATTGAAGCAAAAGAGATTTTCTAGCAATTAATTAGGAAAATAAGTTGAGATAGAACTTCTATAAATAGAAGTATTGTACTCCATTTCCAATTTGTCCAGCACCACCACAAAACATGCATTTCAACTAAAAATGTTTTCAATTGACTCTACGTCATTTTCCTATCAATTTCTTTATTTCAATTTAATGGCAATTGATTAGAACCTCGTCAACTATTTCGATTCAGCCATTTATTTTCTTTCAATTTCAATTATGCCAATTTTAATTACGCAATTTTAGTTAGGCTTTCAATTCAATGGCAATTGATTAAATTCTTGCCATTGAATCGTAGTGACAATTGATTAAATTCTTGTCATTACTTGGCTGACGGCAATTGATTAAATTCTTGCTATCACGTTTCAGTGGCGATCGATTAAATTCTTGCCATTGTGTTTGGCTGATGGCGATTGATTAAGTTCTCGCCATCACGTTCGGCCGGCGATCGATTAAGTTCTTGCCGCCTGTCTTCACTCGGCCATTCCATCCATTCAAACATTCATCAGCCGTTGCATTTCTTTAGACACTCTAAAAAGTCCTTGCTACAAACAAGGCATAAAAGAGCCTTGCTGGGAGTTCTTACTAGTCTCTCTCCCATACAATCGCCTGAGAGTCAGC